TATTTTTAAAAATTGAGATTTTGTTTAATAGCCTGTCCTATAGCCACAAAACCCAGCTTAGAATCATGAGAAGGTTTGTTTTAGCTCAAGAGAGAGACCAGGGGAGCAGGCCACCTTAACCATCACGACTGTAGGAGTCACAAGCAAGTCACCTTTTCTTTTCCTCATGCCTTCGGCATGCCCCATGGTGTCACAATTCCCTCACTGTGAACAGTCGCTTTGTATGCTACAGCTAGGAAGAGAGTTACAGTGAAAGGTCCTGGGAGAGTGAAATTCTGGCATATGAATAGCTAAACAAGCTGTTCTTGAGAAAAAGGTTTTATATTCAAAGCCTCAGTTTCATCATCTGTTAAATGAAAATAAAAATGTTGTCTTACAGAACTGTCATATAGATCCATTTTCACTGAAATCTTCACCACCCACCCTATTTAAAAGGAAGCTACACCTTTCCTTTCTCAAGCCTCACCAGTACATCCTAGATACTTATTATTTGTATTATTCTATGGTGCAAACTTCTTGAAAGGAAGCATGGTAAATGAAAGGATAAAGTCAGCCCCATTTGCTTTTGTGGCACCATTTACCGAGCAGGCCTGTGACCCTGTTAAACATGACTCCTGTTTTACTCTTCTGAGCTTGCCCCCAGGACTGGAAATCCCTGGAAAGCAAGAACAGAACTAGCCACTCCCTGCAGCCACAGGTGGAAGATAACATTGGAACAAACTGCAGCCTCGTGTTACAGCACCCCCAACGGCCTGTAACACTGGGGCCAGGGGCCCCTTAACAGCAACCAGGGGCCACATAACAGGAATCCCCCACCCTTTTTTAATCCAATTGTAATCCAATAAAAGTTCAAATCCCCCACCCTTCAATGCTGGTGTATCTCTCCATGCCATGCCCCTCTCCTTTCTTGGAGAGTGAATAAAAACTTTATTCTCTACACTTTCTTCTCTTTGTGAATTCTTTCACAGCCTGCACCACTGGCCACCCTAACAGTGAAATTCCAGAGAGGAGAGAAAGACAAGCAAAAAAGAGATTTAGTGAGGATCCAGGAACAGAGAAACAGACTTCTTGCATGCGTAGTTTTTGTTCCTCAAGGAATGCGGAGGCATCTCTGAGCCAGGTGCAAACAGCAGCACTGTAAATCAGCGCATTCTCATTGCTCCCCAAGGCTGGACATCTTTGCACAAGACAGTAACTACATAATCATGCTGGTGTCTGGATATGTGAGGAGATATTGGAGATCTGGGAGTACATGAAAGACAAAATGCCTCACCCCTACTGTCTGCACCCCAAGGATGAGACCCTTTTCCTTTGCAGCTGGAGTTTAAGATTTCCTCTAGAAGATGCTACCTCCCAGTCTTTCTCCTCCAAGTGGACCCCTAGCCTCCAGCCAGCCCTGATGGAGGCCTGCGGTACTAACACTTAAACTAGGCCGAACTAGGAATAATGCCTTTTTGGGTTTTAAATGTTGAAGAAGTAATGTAAAAGGACATTTGGGAAGGGACAATGTGGTGTTAAGGAAAGGCTGCAGGACATGGAGTCGGCTGACCTAGAATGGTGGCTTGATAAGTGTCAGCTTGACAAGACTGAACTGCATTTCCCAGAATTCCCTTCCCTGCCCATTTCCCATCAGAGATATTCTTGGGATTTGGAGGGGAGAAGTGAAGCAGTAGGCATTATTGTTCTTGCCTCCCCAGAGCTCTCCACTGTCTACCACCACCCCCACCCCTCCCAGGTGAAGTACCAGCACTTTCTCAGGGTCTTTGAGAGACAGAGCTTTACATGAACAAACGGTGTGGGTAGACTTGTAGGCACCAGACTGGTGGGGAAGTATTTTGCAGGTGGTTTCCCCCCAATCCCACCATGACTGGCATCATATACTCTATTTGGATTCACAAAAAGTTGATTATTCATTACCTAATTAGCAGAGAGTACAAATGCCTTAAACAAAGCCTTCACTGTTTAAACTCTCAGTTTTAGGGACGTGCTGGAATATGGGGCTACTCAGACCCACTCACTGCTTCTGGCCCTCAGCTCCACCTGCCCCGCCCCCCACCATGTCACGCCTGCACTCTCTCCCTTGCCTCCTGCTGTGTTATCTCTCTGTCCTCCATCTATCTTGTCGAAAATGAACAAAGGAGTATGAGTTACCCTAGGACGGCTTGACACAGAAAAAAAAGTCTTTTCAAAATCTCAGAATGTCATGATGAACTAGATGAGAAAAAACGTGATGGACTCTCTTGGCTGTACCCAAGTCAGTTTCTGTGGAAAAGATATTGAACACTCAACTCATTGGTTAACAATATGAGACAGTTAAATGGAGGATGGTAAAGAGAGAAAGAAGAAGGGAATGAACAAATGCTTTCTTTTTTTGTTAAGTATCTGATTCAGGTGCCAAAGCTCATAAATTTTCGAATACCGTCAGCCACAAACATGGATGATTCTCCAAATGAAAGGCCAAACATTGGCAAAACAGAAAGCCTATTTGGTCTATCACATGACTACACTAAAGGAGGCTGAGAAATAAACTCTCTATAACCACCCCCAGGTTTCCTAGTACTGCCACTGTCATCCAAAATCCTGGCTCCTTCAAAGTATCACCCCTTTGCCCTGCCAGAGAAAGCCAGGCTTTAAAAGAAGGAAAATCCAAGGTCACTTACTTCCACATAAAGAAAATATTTTGTCAGCTGCCAAATTCATTTTTCTAATGTATTCTCACCTAATAACTTAAGCCTGATACTCTGAGCAGAGTCCAACTTGGGTAATTCCATTCTCCCAACCAAATTCCTCCAAGGAGTTTGAACTGGACCTGACATTATCCTGCACTTCTTCAGCTGCCCTCTTAATCAAACTAATGCTTTTCATCCCCCAAGTATGGTGGGGATAAGAGGTGAAATTTCTAAAAAGAGATTATTCTTAAGAATTTAGTGATGAGAGGTTCCATGATATGGATTTAGTAAAGTTCTTTGGAAGTCAAGTCTGGATTCATCTACTCAACAAATAGTTATGCCAAGTGCTGTTCTCAACATTGCAGGTGTAGCCTGACATGAGAAAAGGTTCTGCCCTCGAGAAATAAATATTAGAATAAGTGTACAGGATGAGGTTGGAGAGAGAGAGGCAGGATTCAGCCCATTTAAGCCATGATGTAGAGTTTGGACATTATCATAAGCACAGATGGAGAGTACTGGTGGACTGACATGATTCCTGCCCCCCTACCCACCCCAAAATCACCATGAAGAAGTGGAGCCATTACACAGGACATCTGTGGGTCAGGCTTCTAGTATTTTGCTATTTTTCACTGAAATTGAATCATTCTGGAGTCAGCTCAACCGCAGACATATTTTCCTCTCTGCAAGCTTCCAAAGATCATTGAATCTTAGCACAAAGAGCCAAGGAGTCCAAAGTCATGGTTTGGCCAGCTGAGCCATCGGCATTGCACTGCTGCAAGACAAATACTGCCTCCTTCTTCCTCTCTAGCTGGTTGTACTTCGTTGGCTCCCTTTGGTTATATGGGACACCAGACAAGAGAGGGTAAATGAAGAAGCATTAGCTCATCTCCGCTGCTCCAATAGCTGTCCATGGTCTGCTGAAAGCCATTCAGTGGCAAAATCAAGGAGCAGAAGTATTTATACATATATGTGACTTACTGAGTGGCATCATTCTTAAAAGTGCATTACCACTGGCAAAGAATCATTGAAAACTTTCTATGTATTGCCCACCCTGTGAACAGGGACAGATATAAATTAAAAAGTTATAGAATCTGACAATACAAAGGGACATTAGTGGTCATCAAGTCCAACATTCCACCCAGTTCAGCATTCTCCCAGGCAGCCCTGACAGGGAGTCCTTCATGTTCTTTACCCCTGTTATGTCATCTGGGGACCAAGTGAGTGGCAATTTAATTGCACATTGTCCTGTCGGCTAAGGAAAGTCATTTACTGTGGCACCTATTGCCCAAAGTTGTGGTCCAAAGGGCCAAAGAACAGATAAAAAAGTTACATCATTAAGAAAGGCCAAGCCCCAGCTGGCTAACTCTGTTAAGAGCATCATCCAGTATGTGAAGGTTGCAAGTTCAACCCCAGCCAGGGCACATACAAGAATCAACCAATGAACGCATAAATAATTGAAACAGTAAAGCAATGTGCTCTCTCTCGCTCCCTCTCACTCTCTCTCTCTCCCTCCTCCTTCCACCCTCCTTCTCTCTCTCTTTAAAATTAATAAATAAAAATAAAAAAAATAAAAAGCGGTCAAGGTCACACCCTGGAAAGGAAGCACCAAATAAGTTTTCCAATCTCAGGAGCAAGAAGACAGAACAAAGGACACAGAGCTAAACAAGGAGATGCCCAGGATGCTGATGAATGACGAATACCGAGTAGGCGGATTAAAGGTGAGCAAGCCTGGGGAAATTCCTAATTCCATGTGCAGGTTCTCATGATGGAATTTTTAATACAGTTCTCACACAAATGTGTATAACTGTGCCAAATACACTCATACTTGGCAGGGGCTGGAAGGGAACTTATTTCCTACTTCTGCTAAATGGTCACTATCTTACACGAACACCCCCTTCATTATTAAGAAATGCCAGAGATTCAGAATGTTTTTTGTATCCTCCTCCCTCTGGCCATAAGCTGTTCTCACATGAAACTCAGAGCAAATTGAATTTCTTTTCCTCGTGACAATTCTTCAAATAATTAAAAACAACTCCCAGGTCCCCTTTCAATATTTCCTGCCCAGGGCTACGTGTCCCCAGATCCCTTCAACTGTTCTCAGCGTAATGTCAGAGGTGCCAAACTTTCAAGAACTTTAGAAATTCAAGTCCAAATATCGCCTTTCGCTCAGAAGGAAGATGAGGTTTAGAAAGGTGAAAGGCAGCTGGGTATGGGATACATTTTGCCCATTGTTACCTGGAAGTAGCAGGCCCAGAACTTAAAGTTGGATGTCTTAATTCCAATCCCAGCAGTCAACCCGTGTCTTTCAATAACCCTCACCACCCTACTCACCTCCCTCTGGACTCATTCCAGCTTCTCAGATCTTCTCTAAATGTAGCCCCTGATGCTGAATGCACTGGCAGATGTGTCCAGCCAGACAAGAGAATAGGGCAATCATTATCTACTTTATTCTAAACTCTATACATCTATTAATGCTGCTATGATTTCTCCAGATCTCTTTGACAGGCCCTGATGATTCACATGGGGCATGTGGTTAACAAAACCCATCGTGCTGTTGTTTTGAACTTGAAATGTGTCAAGCGAGATATTTTCCACTTTGTACTAGAATGGTTTGTTTTTACTTCAACCTAGGTACAGGACTTTATATTGAATCCTCCTAAATATAATTTTGTTAATTTAGATATATCCTTCCATCTGGCTGAGATATTTTTGAATGTTAATTCTCTTATCAGGCACATTAACTAACCACCCATGTTTTAGGACACACACAGCCTCAGTCAACACACTGTGGCAAAGGTAGTTGCCATGGACTCTCCTCCTTTTCTCAGAATTTGTTGCATTTGGGTTGGGGTCGTGTGACTTCTTCTTGACAATAAACTGTGGATGAAGGAGATGTCACTACTTCTCCAAGGCATTTAAGAGCTGGTGTGATTTTTTTCTCTAGTCCTATATTCCCTGAAACAAAGACCGTGTAGGCTGAGTACCTTAGATGTATAACTGCAGGGTGAGAAGGGTGGGGGACTTACATGAGCCAGTGCAACATTTTCAAGATGGTTAACAGCATTCCATTAATTACTCAAAGACATCATAAAAGACTGGATCAAAAGCCTTGTTAAAATCCAAATCTATTAAGTCCCAAGGACCATGGTAAACCACTGAAGGTTCTTAAGCATGGGTGTGATAGACTCAGACTTGGACTTGAGAGATGCAGCTGGGTGGGGGGAGTGAATTAGGGGAATCTAAGACTAGAAGCAGGAGAACTGTTAGGAGGCTGGCTCGTGATCATCTGGAAAGGTAATTATGATTAACGGAGCTGAGATGAGCTTTTTAAAAACATGTTTCTGTCACAGACACTTCATTTCCACTTTTGTCGATATTGCTGGATTGGTGAATCAGAGAAATGACGAAGTCCATATTCCTGACCCTGGCTCCTGCCAGCCACTCCTCTTTGTCCTGCCTGCCACTCCCCTTTGGCGTACCCCAGGCTCCTTCCTCTCTCCTCTAGCCACTTGCTTTTCCATTTACTTCAGCGCCTTGAGGATTCTATCTGACACTGGGCTTTTACACATCTCTTTTTTTCTGTTTAGGATGCTTTCCCACCCTGTCTCTATCTCCAGGCTAATTCCTCAAACATTGAATCTCGGTTTTCTTAGGGAGGACTCCCCTGAACCCCTACACTAAGTCAGATCTCCTTGCTCAAATACCGTTTGCCCTGTACCCTCTGCCTTTCAGAGCACTCAGCACTGCTGCAGCCACTTCCTAGTAGAGCACTTTCCCTTTCCTTTGAAGCTAAACAGTTCCTTGAGGGCAAAAGCAGTGTCTTTTGTGCTTATCACAGAGAACTTAGAACAGTATGAAGTGGGTGTTTAAATAATATTTAGTGAATAGAATTGCCCAATAATAACGTCCTAGACATGTGTCAGAACACAATGAGAAGCTAAGCAGATTGCAGGTTTTAGAATCTCCCTTTGTGCCCTCTGTCCTTGTCCAGATTCTGCGTACTTCCTCTTTGCTGCAGTGTTGCTCAGAGACGACCGACAGTGAATTTGCAACAGCAAGTTTGTTCCTTCTGTTGCAACAGCAAGTTCTTTCCGTTTTCTGAGATTGGTATTGCTTTATTGCAGGGATTCACAAACTACAGCCCAGATCAAAGCGGGCTAGATGCCTATTTATGAAGTTTTATTGGAACATAGTTGTACCTATTTATTTCCAATTTATTGATGGTTGTCTTCATGCTAGAAAAGCAGAGTTGAACAGTTGAAATTGAAACCATATGGCCCACAAAGCCTGAAATTATAACTTTTACAGAAAAAAATTTGCCAATCCCTGGTCTAGTATAAATACTTGAAGTAATTTGGGTTTTTTTTTCTATCATCTCATCTGTGTGTAGCTTCCTTTCCTCCTTACAATCTTTTACCAGCCTTTACAATATAAAATTTATTCTTTCTAATAAAGAATTCAGGCCCTGGTTGGTGTGGCTTAGTTGGTTGGGCATCATCCTGGGAACCGAAAGGTAGCCAGTTCAATTCTCAGTCAGGGCACATATCTAGGTTGTGGGCCCAGGCCCCATTTGGGGGTATGTGAGAGGCGACTAATTGTCACTGTTCATCTTACATATTGATGTTTCACTGCTTCTCCTTCTTCCTCCCTTCTACTCTCTCTAAAGATAAATAAATATAATCTTTTTAAAAAACTAACATTAACTAATATTCAACAAATATCAAATGCAGTTCTAAACACTTGACAGTCACTCATTTAATCATCATGAGATCCCTGTATGGTAGATATTGTTATTATCCTAGGTTCATATGTGGGGAAACTGAGGTACATAGTGGTTAAGAACATTGTCCAAGATCACAAAGCTAAGTGGTGCTTCTGGGACTTGAACTCAAGCAATCTGCCTCCAGAATCCATGCTTTTGTCTGCCCTTCTCACAAGGAGTTTTCCTACTGTGCCAGGCAGCTTTGAAACAGGTCTTCTAGCATCACTTTACCCACCTGCTTTCAACTCACAGCCACCCTACCACCCTTGCTCTGGAGAAATTTTTGAGTGCCCTTGGAGAAGGGCCAAACAAAGGCAGGAAGTCTTAGGGACTGGGGTGAGCAGGGAGCTCTTTAGGTCCAAAAGCCAGGGAGAACGTGATGGTTTCTGGTAAGAACCAGTAGCTAGAGAGGTGGGTAAGGCTCAAGGGTTTCCCAGCCCCAATCCTGCCACCTTAGGAGAATCTTTCTCAGAGCAGAGGAAAGGCTGACAGATGACTAACATCAGTCATATTTAAGAGCATGTCCCCCGTCCAGGGAAGCATCCCCAGATGTGCATGAGGGGAGGGCAAAGTCCGGGTGGATGAGCCACAACCGACCTTCAGCCCATCTGTTCCTCCTTCAGTCTCTGACTTTCAGCCCTCACCTGCTCTCTCTCCATGTCCCCAATTTCTCTTCTGTTCAACTCAAGCAGTCTCACAAACCACAACATACACTTATTATTGCCTGCAGTTTTTCAGATTTTATCAGGCAGTCTCTCTAAACAAGTGTAGCTCAAGTCTTTTTTTTAAATATATTTTATTGATTATGCTATTACAGTTGTCCCAGTTTTTCTTCCTTTCTCCTTCCTCTGCCTGATATCTCCATTCCCTCCAGCATTCCCCCCACTTAGTTCATGTCCATGGGTCATACATCTAAGTTCTTTGTCTTCTCCATTTCCTAGACTATTCTTAACAACTCCCTGTCTATTTTGTGCAAGAGGTAACTGATTATCAATGTTTCTTAATCCCTGTACCTTTCCCCCCATTCTGCCCCATCCCCCTCCCAGCTGATAACCCTCCAAATGATCTCCATATCTATGATTCTGTTCTTCTGGCTGTTTGCTTAGTTTATTATTTTAGATTCAGCTGTTGGTGGTTGTGAATTTCCTGCCATTTTTCTATTTACATTTTTGATCTTCATTTTCTTAAATAAGTCCCTTTAACATTTCATGTAATAATGGCTTGGTGATGATGAATTCCTTTAGCTTTAGCTTGTCTGGGAAGCACTTTATCTGCTCTTCCATTCTAAATGATAGCTTTGCTGGATAGAGTCATCTAGATTGTAGGTCCTTTCTTTTCATGACTTTGAATACTTCTTGCCCGTCCTTGCCTGAAAAGTTTCTTTTGCAATATCAGCTGATAGTCTTATGGGAATTCCTTTGTAGGTAATTCTCTGCTATTCTCTTATTGTTTTTAAGATTCTCTCTTTATCTTTAACTTTTGACATTTAATTATGATGTATCTTGTTGTGGTCGTGTTTGGGCCCAACTTGTTTGGGACTCTGTGCTTCCTGGACTTGTATGTTTATTTCCTTCACCAAATTAGGGAAGTTTTCTTTCATTTCTTTTTTTTTTTTCAAATAAGCTTTCAATTTCTTGCTCTTCCTCTTCTATCTTCTGACATCCCTGTGATTCATATGTTGGTATGTTTGGAGCTATCCCAGAGGCATCTCATACTATTTTCTCTCTCTCTCTCTTTTTTTTAACTTCTTTTTTCTTCTTGTTGGTCTGGTTGAATGTTTATTTCTTATGTTCCAAATTGTTGATTTGAATCTTGGCTCCATCCCCTCCACTGTTGGTTCCCTGTAGATTTTTTTTTTAAATTTCACTTAGTGTAACTGTCATTTCTTCCATACGGCTTGATTTTCTGACAGTTCTGAGTGTTATTTGTTTTGAGGTTTAATTGTAGTTTTTTTTCTGTGGTGCATGAGGAGGCATGTTTACCTACACCTCCATCTTGATTAGAAGTCTCAAGTTTTAAGAACAAAGGCACAGCCCTGCACTGCCCTTACCTCATCCCTAACCATATCTAATGGTTCTTAGAGGCAGCCTGCAGGAAAATTAATTCCTGCCTGGAATTAAATAACAAAGGGCTTCTAGAAATCTAGATTTCACACTGACAACTGAAGAACTTAAGACACAGCATAAGACTGAGCGCAAAGACTGACCCCCAATCCCAGGCATTTGGACTTGCCTATGATGTAAGTCTGATCTTTGGAAAAATGCTCTCTTGAACTGCTGGATTATATCTTCATATTTAATGAGCTATTAATCAGCACAACATGGCTGATAATATGTAAAATGAATGGTACAGAAGAAAGGCAATAATTTTTTCACCAAATGAAAGAGGAGATTTTAATCTGAGCAACACAGTCTGGCCCTGATTTAAAGTAAATTACCAGCTGATTAGACAGCTGTAAATACAGGGAGACAAGCCTCAACAGGCAGCTAGATTTTGTAAGGAAGAGGGAAATTAGAGAAGGCAAAGGAGATCCTGGGCACAGGCAGGGCTCAGCAAAGCATAGTGGCAGCTCTGTGTGTCCAAGATTACAGAGCAGGAAGAGATTTGTAGGAGGTGTTTTGTAGATGGAGCCTGCATCAAAGTGTAGCTCTGGGCTCCCACTCTGCTAGCCCCACCTCCCAGAGAGCCTGAAAG